ATTTAACTGTCAATGATTGATCATTTAATGTACTATTAGGTCGAATTGCATAACGTAATAAATCATCTAATGTTAATCCAATACCTTTAGCATAAAATTGACATCGATCACCAAAGAAACAATCATTACATACACATAGAATATTAAGAAAGCACATAGGCCGATCTTGCAAACATGTTCCACCATTCTCACAATAAACGTTATCTTCACAGGCAAAAGTCTGTTGATGTTCGAATGGAAAACAGTTACTATGACGTTCTTCCGTACACAAACACATGTAGAATTCATCGACAAAACATTGTAAATTAGAATCACGTTGACATGGAATATGATAGCTTTTCAATCGTTGGGTTCGTGGCAATGAGAGTAATTGAATAGTCAAAAGTTCATCAATTGAAACACATCTTTGGGCGGGGCTGATGGAGGTTACTATGTTGGATGATTCAAATTTTCGAAGTACAGCCAGATAATAACGATTATCAGTCTTGGCAATAACCATTTGGAACAGAGCTTGAGAGTACAAGGTGACACTAGTTTGAAACATAGTCATTTTTCTGAGTATAACAAATGTTGGTGGTGATCGTTCGAAACGAATCCTAGTGTAAATATAGGCGAGTAAATACAATGGAGTTTCAATATTTCTAAGGGAAACATCTATTCTATGTTTAACCTTTTCGCATCTTGTCCCAGAAAATTGTTCAGAACAAAAGCACATATAACTTTTATCAATCATTCTCTCATCGATTACTATGCAACGACCATTATTTTTGCAGATCCCTATTGGACATACTAGTTGAAGACGACAAGAAGAACCAAATTTTCCGTGAGGACAGATACAGATTGATCGATTTCGCATCGAACCAATACAAATCGAATTTGATGCACACATACTGCAATCAATTGGAATGTTACATTGTGCACCGGACCAACCTGAATAACATTGACAGAAGAATCGTTCTTCATTATGATATTTCATACAAGTACCTTTATAACATTGTAGAGTACAGTGTTTCGAATTGAATGTTCGAAAAATCGGAAGGGTTAAAAAAGCACTTATCCGATTGACTGGTAAAAAGACGAATGGAATCGTTAAATACCAACTTATTAAATATGTCAATGAATCTTTATTGAATGCATCAATACGAATACTATAGTTCTTTGAATTATTCTTTCCACGCTTCGAATATAATAGATAGAGATTCACAAGTTTACCACAATATTTTAGTGATGCATAAGTGAATTGATGATACGAATGAATTTCTTGTTGATCGTTGTCATCTTCTATCAACGTAATAATAATAGCATAAATAATTGGTTGTTCAACAGTTGCCAATGTTAAGGTAAGACTGACACGTTGATTTTGATATTGACATCGATCACCATAATAATTCGGTGGACAAAAACATAAACTACTGTAATTATTGACTCCAAGTCGATGGTAAACATATAAACCAGAATTACAGATTTCAGACTGTATAATACTCTTAATCGACGATGAAGTTATCATTTCATCATGAATCTGATTTTCAATGGATTTAGTCTGACTAGTATACAGCGATGGATAATTTAATGCATTGTCTAATGAAAAAGAAGTAAAAGGTTTATTAATGACTTGACAAGAAATGTCTTGCATATTGGGAAGCTTGTCAAAATCAGAGTCATGACATAATTGCGAACGATTAGGGCAGAATAGTTTATTATTATACATAGGGCAATCTTCATTTGCGTTACAAAGATTCTCGTCTTCTATACATTTTGTATCATTCCAGCAACGAAATTTGTACATTTGAAACGTGATATTAGGCACAATAAGGAAATTAAATTGAACGAACGATGCACTAAAGCAGTCAACAGCTCCACCCCTAACTTGATCAACTGGTAAACACTTCATTGTATAATTATGCGGCGAGATACAAAAAAGGTTATGTTTTATATCAATGGGTTGTGTGCAATTTTCTTCATCCTTACCATCTACACAGTTTCGAAAACCATCACATCGTGTGTTAATATTATTGCATGGCCAAAATTCACAATTAGTTTCATCGGAATGATTTCGTCCATCGATTACCATCATAGGCAAATCCACGATTCGATCACATATTTTATAAAATAGAATATCATCATAATTTATCTGTATTGGAAAAGAACAGATACTTGTTGGGAAAAAGCGTGATCGACACTGTTTCTCGTTTGGACACGGAAATTGAGAGGTTTGATTCAATGAAAAACTTAATTCAGATAATGCTTGCTCATCATCTTTCAAGAAGCAATCTGATATACCGTCAACAATTCGATGTTTAGAAATATATTTCGATGAATTCTTACAATGATATAATGATGAATGATGAGAATCGATGATATGATAATGTTGAGTAATACAACCATCAAAGTATGATTTAATTGAATCGATAATTGATTTCCAAGTAGTCAATTCAGCATTCATTGTAAGGTTCATTTGATCACCAGAACGACAAGTCAAGTTTTCATGACGAAATGTGGGTGTGAGAAAATCGCATAATTGTTCATCATAACAAATATAATCAGGTTTAAGAGATAGTGTAACATTAATACTGTCAATCTCTTTTGGATGATATAAAAATGTTACATGACCATCGAGTACTGGAATAATCGGAAATTGAAGAGGAAACTTGCAACGTTTTAATTGTTCGATGATCTCAGAAGATTGAATGAACTGATTACATGATATATTCTCGATTTTATCAATAATTTTGGTAAGACAAACTATACTTATCCAACATTTGTAGGATAAATTCCCTCTAACACTAACCGATTGAGCTAATGAGAGAGGTCGATTAGTTTTACATTGACCAAAATCTTCTACACATTGTCCATCACCACACAAAAATTTACCTTCATTAGGTCGACATATAAATTCTTGACATTCAAACAGATTCAGACGGAAATAAAATTTTAGACACAAGGATGTTTTAACTAAATAATCTGATCTATCAAGACATTGCGCTTCTTCAAAATCCATTTCCAAAAAAATTTTTGGAATACACAATCCATTATGGCATTGATATTCATTTTCATTGCATTTATTAATTTCTAAACTGAAACATTCAATTTCATCAATACCATCATTAAGACAATCAATTCGACCATCGCAGATCTCACGCCAATCAAGACACATCGATGGTCCACCACGATTACATTCTAAAAGAATATAACACGTTCCATTAAATATATCACCAGTAATACCTGTTTCAAAAGAATTCTGCACTAATTTATCTTCATTAAATTTGAATGAATATTGACATCGTGATCCAAACCATGGCTGTGTGCAATTAAAGAATTTTTCATTTGATAGATTAGATTGAGTTGGTTGATCAAGATAATACTCATATTGTTCGGCAAGATCCATTGATGATGACCACATGAGAATTTCTTGCGATGTTATATTCAAACGGTATAATTCATCGAAAGTTAAATGATCATCGGATATATTAGAAAATTCGGTTATTATCAAATTCGTATCATTTTTGGGCCGAATACAATATTTAACTATGTCAGCAAAGAGTAAAGACTGAGGTGGAAAATAATGCAAACAATCAAATCCAAATCGATCGGTATCATAAAAAATTGATTGAAAGCCATTAAATGTCCATAGAAAAATCATTATATATAACAACTTTGACATTATTCAAATCTGGGCTTACTTAAGAATGATAATATAGTTAAATGAGCGATTTAACATAGAGCTCTCCTATTAAATATTGATAATTGTCTAGCTGCATTGATAGCGTTTAGTGTTAGATGTATGACTTTTTTGCAGTTTTTTCTCTCGATGTGACGTGCTTTGTCGCAATTATAAAAAAGTCATTCGATACTCATTTTTATTCTTTTATGTCAGAATTATATATTGGTATTACTAAAATAAATAAAAAAATCACATATTTCAATAAATTCAGCTCAACTACGTGTAATTACTTAATTGGCTTCACTACTATAACATTCTATTTTATTTAATGTTAAAAAGAATTGACGTTGGATTTTGAAAAAAATTACCAGAATTTCTATATGAATTGTTCTTTATATCTATGTTAAGTGATATTCTCGCTTTGTCCGTTTTGTCTATCTATCCATAAACAGAAAAATGTTTGCTTGTTTGTCGGTTCGCTAGGGAAAATGACGTTTCGTACCACCTCGTCATTCCGAACTCTCGTAGCGGATGTCTGTTACGAACTTCCGACAAAACATTATTCAAAATTTTCGTCAACGATGTCGGACTGCC